AAGATTGTATTAAGTATGTATATTTACATGAATATATATGACCATCAGATAATGATTGTATACAATACATATAAGTGTTGTAGTCATCCCCAAATTTTTGATCTAAAATCAAATTATTAGGGGTTCTTGATTGACTTCTCATTATATTTTATCAAGTTCTTTAATCAATACCGGAGGAGTGATTTAAATACGGGATCTCTTACAATTAGAAATGATAGAATCATCAAATTTGTTCACTTAATGATGTGTTAGCGTACATGTCATTATCTTATTTGTTAGTATTGAATAAAGTTTAAAATGTGGAGTTTAAATAAATCAGATATTGGTATCATTTGATAAACAAATTTGACGTACGTAATATCATTTGGAAATAAATGTACCATTGGACGTACCTTTTTCTTTAAACGAGAACATGGTTTGTGATTGTGGAATAGTGTTATTGTGCGTTACTAATATGATCACATGTTATAACTCGTCTATGTAAGATGAATGAATTTTTATTGATACTATAACTTAAACTACGGAAGTATTAATAAGAGCAAGTCCACCCATTTTAGGAGGGCAAGGGCAAGGCAAAGGTAAGGACGGTGAAATTGCCCTTACTAATTACTTTGCACAATTTTTTTTTTTTTGGTGCAAGTCCACCCGTTTAAGAAGAAAAAGGGCAATGACAAGAATAAAGACAAAGACAATGTCGTCCACCATTATAATAAATGGACTAACTATAATGCAACTGCATCCAAACTTGTAGTAACACAATAATTTTTTTGATTGTCGTGAACAAGTTGACGATGTGCAGGTTTTCTTGACCTTTATTTCTCATTTGGACCTTTGGTTATCCATCACCTCAAATGAACATACCATTGGTGGTTGCGAGGAACAAAATGGAAGGGAAAAAAGGTCATTGGTCGCCTCTTACTTCCACTATAAATTACAAAATTATGCAACTTTCCTAATTTTTGTACCTACTAATTTTAGCAATCTTTTCCAAAATTAAGCTTGAAATAATGTAGCAATTGCAGGTGCATACCAAATGGACGTTTCATTTTTCCTTATTTAAATGAATTGAACATTGACATGAGATTTAGCAAATAAATTTGGCTTCTTTATCAATATATGAGAAAATGATGTGCGATTACACTAAGGGAAGACTAACAAAAACATTTCAATCTTCTCTAGAGACCATGACGTGTTATGTAGAATACGAATTTGAAATTCGTCACCAACCACAGAGCCACCCGCAATTTATGTCGAATTTACCCCTCTTACCATAAACACAAATATGCAAGTTTCCTAATTCTTGTACCTACTGATTTTAGTATCATTTTCCAAAATTAACCTTCACAATTTGGAGTTAGCAAAATGAGGTGGATAGACTTTTCCATTTTCCCTCTTTCCTTATTTATACATACTTTTATTAGAGACTATGGAGGAGAGGATCAAACCACACTTTTTTAGGGTTTCCATTGAGCTATTCTTGCGCTGAGATTCTGACCAAACAAATCAAAATTCAAAAGCCTAAAAGCAGAAGCCCTTTTCGGCTTTTGCTTTTACCCAAGCCATACCACCAAACGCGTCCTAGGCCCCCTAGGCCCCAATTGCCAATTAAACCACGTGCCTCAAAGTATCAACTATCAAACCATCCCATCTCACTCCAATTTGTATGCAGAGACAATCAACGGCTGAGATCTCATCCCTACCAACGCCCTTCGCTCCTCCTATATATGACCTCCCCATATAGTCCTTTTTCATCCATCCTCACCTCCCACCTGCAAAATTCTCAAATTCCATCGCAAACCCTGATTTCTCTGCCCCTCAAAGTTTCAATCTTTCCGATCGAATTTTGGAATTTTAGGGTTTTCAAAGGAGTCTGAGATTTGGGTTTTTTCTCAGACGCAGATAATATCAAGGAAAAATGCTTCTACGGAGCTCATCGACGCCGGTGCTCAATTCATTGCTGCCGCACTCCAAAGACTCGACATTTTCCGATCAGCAACCGGAAATAGTCCCGCAAATTTCGAGAACTCGCTCCGTTATCCTCTCGGCGTCGTCGCGGTCGCCCTTTTTGCTGTCGCCGATCAGCGACTCGACGAGGAGGTTGACCCGGGCGGTCTCCGCGGACGATCTCAGAGATTTCTCAGCTGCGTCGCCGAGAAGAAAGGCCTTTAGCAACCCGTTAAATGGGTTTGAGGAGAGAGGAGAGGAGGAAGAGGAGATAGAGATGGAGATGGGCTTTGCTGCTTCTGGGTTTGGCGGAACGGCGTCGTGGGGATTGGCGGAGTTTGAGCGGTGTGAGGCGGGGTTGAGGCAGAACAGGGGGTTGCTGAGCGTTTTGGATGGGAGTGGCGTTGGTGGAGGAGGCGGCAAGATCTGCGGTGGTAATGGCGGAGGGAGTGGTGGATCGGACGAAGGAGATGGTGGGAGCAATGGGTTTTGGGAATCGAATCAAGGCGGTGCCAGCACAGATTCGTACTACCAGAAAATGATCGACGCTAATCCTGGAAATCCCATGCTCCTTAGCAATTATGCTCGATTTTTGAAAGACGTAAGCAAATTTATACCAAAATCTTCAAATTTAAGTACAAAAGATTGAATCTTTATTGAAGCTAATGATGTTTTGTGATGACAAAAATTACAGTTTCGAGGGGATTTCGAAAAAGCCGAAGAATACTGCGGGAGAGCAATTCTGGCGAGCCCGAACGACGGAAATGTTCTGTCAATGTTTGCGGATTTGGTATGGCAGATTCATAAGGATGCTCCCAGAGCTCAGGCTTACTTTGATCAAGCTGTTCAAGCTGCCCCTGATGATAGGTAATGCGCCGTCGATATTGTATCTGTATTGTCTATATAATGTATCGATAACATGCTGGTACGTTTTGCGAATCAATTGTACTGACAGTGTTTTATGATTTGATGGTTTGCAGTTATGTTCTAGCATCATATGCGAAATTCCTCTGGGATTCGGAGGAGGAGGAGGAAGACGAAGAGGAAGACGAGGAGGAGAATCTGAAAGAAGGGGCGAATAACAGAGCTTCGGCAACCAATTTGTTTCATGGAGTTCCTCCCGTACCACCTCCATTAGCTGCTGCTGCATAGATACATAGAGATATATGTATCTACATGTTCAGAGGCTGACCTTTTGTTTGTATAAAGTTTAACCTTTTTGGGTGATCCTTTGGATGCTGCTGCTTTCTTGATAAATTGGGTTGGGTTGGGTTGGGTTATGTTAACTGATAGCTCTGTTTTTGTTGTCAACATCTTTTCTACTAAAATCTTTGTAAAAAGCAATGTAACAAAAATAAGTGATGGAATGGAAATTTTTGAAGGCATAACTCTATCTGCAACAACCCTTAATCGAAATTTTCGATTTGATTCAGAACTATATTGATCTTAGCTTGAAGGAGAGGATTCAATAGTTGGTTCCATTCGGATTTCGGTTTGAATCCAATTCCCTTCCAATTTCAGTATGAATCGAATTCAAGCATGAACGCTGGAAAGATTTAGTACCAGTTTGGTACTGCTTTGCTTAACTTTTAAAAAAAAAGCAGGTATGGAAAAAACACACTCAGTTTTTTAGTATTTGGTAAACTTTAAAAATCAGGTTTTTTTTTTTCAGTTTATGGTGAAAAAAAGCTAAAAAGGCAAAGTAGCAAAACCTAGTTTTGGAAAACTAGCTTTTTATCACAATTCACGGGTGAACAGTACTATTAAATGAATTTTTCAAAATGGCAACCTTACCCTCTCTTTCTCCTTCATCCCAGTTTTGAACTTCACCCCCTTTCTCTATTGCTTTCCGACGCCGTACTACCCAGATTCACCACCCCATCCCCTCCATCTCTTCTTACTCCCCATATTCGCCACCCCATTTCTCTCCCAATCCCCACCCAATACACCCATCGCCACCTCATAGACCATGATCCCAACCCACTCCCTGCTAGATGATAACCCAGATCCCACCTACCCATTCACCACCGCACATTCAAAACATGTAATGCCTTGGAAATCGAAATGCAGGAAATAGAAATGGGAGTGAGTATGAAGGTTCCAGATCGTCGGAACTGAAAGCGAAAAGCGAAGGGACGAAGGGGGTGAGGACTTTGAAATTTCAGGAGGGATCGTTGATGAAAAATGGAAGAAAAGCTAGAAATATTTTGGTAGAACGAAATATAAAGAAAGAAAAATGAAAAAGCTAGAAAGAAAGGGAAACGAAGAAAGGAAAAAGGAAACATCCATGAACTTTTTGGCAGAAAGAAACAGAAAGGAAGAAAAGCCCATAAGTTTTTTTTTTCTGTCATTTTACGATCATAAATATTTACTAAACACATAGCACTGCTTATATATATATATATATTAAAAGAACTTTTACAATTATCGATACCAAACACTTTACTATTTTATTTCACAGCTGCTTATTCTTATAATACAACATTATAATACAACAGAAGCAGTTTTTTTTCAAAGCAGAGTAATATCAAACTAACCTAAGTAGAGATTGAGAACACAAGAAAACGCACAAATCGAGTTCTTAATCAAACCCGAAAAAATGGAAAACGCCTCGCTGTTGTCATTTTCGAAGGACGATTGACCACATCCGGAGTATGAATGCTTTCACCATCGTCTCCCTCACTCGAAAAACAGAACTAAAGCAGCAGATTGCTTGAAGGGTTCAGCAAAAGGTGGTGGAGAACGGTGAATTTGACAAGTTTATCGTGTCTAAAGCAGCAGATGGTTTTGCCGAGCATGATGCCTGCAAAACCCTTCAGCTCTTGGGGTTTGAGTGGTGTTATGACATTGGTTAGGGAAAGGCAACATGCCAAGAAGCTCACCGACTCCACCTTATACTCCAGCGCAGTCTACCGATGACACAGCGCAAAAGTCAGGCGCCTTTACAGCCTGCGTCAAGCGTTTAGCACAACTTGTCAACAAGAAGAACCCGTTAAATTTTTTCATAAAATTTCTTGTATTTTACTTGACAGATATAGTCTTGTTCGAGAGTTGAGTTATCAAAATTTCGAGTTAGTTGAGTTCATTTGAGCGAAGTAAATAAATATTGGAAAGTGGCAGAGGCAAGTTTTTGATTCAAAAGCAGGACTACGGAACTACACACCAGGGCTAAGTCATCGGACTACGAAAACACTTCTAACAGAGACACGAGCTTACATACATTGACAGGGTTTTTAGCATTTCTAACAAAGGAATTTCATAAAATCCAGAACCACCCGAGAACCGAGCCGCTAACCAAGCCAACTCCAAGGAACACCACCATGACAATGGCAGATAGCTCCGCTTCAGAAGCCAGCACAGTTTTCGGAACAGTCATCATGAGAACACTTGTCAGATACCCGTTGGTCAATCCAAGCATAAATGTGAGAACCCCCATTGGAATTTCAGTTTTCAGCCATGGCGGTCCATGGAGGCAAGCAGTGAAGATTGGATAAAATAGGAGCCTTGCAATGCAAGCCAAAGTTGCCCTTTTAATGCTCTTTAGAAGATATACTGCAGTCAATGATTTTCCCACTAAATCTGCAACATTGTACACCGTGATCAGCAAAATAGGATACCAATCTCGAAAAAGCTTGGATTCGAGATCTTCGGCAATAAATCCTGGAAAAATCGACAGAGTCACTGTATAGGTTACGAAAATCCCAAAAGCTGGCAAGGGGACTTTTCGCGCCACGTCCCAAAATTTTGGTCTTGCGCAATAAGGTTCGTCTTGAGCAAGCCTGCAGTGTTCCTGCATGACTGTCAACCTGTATAACAAGTTGCAGGCGAGCAAGCAGCACAGGAGGAATATGGTGCTGACGATGAAGTACAAGTGCGCGCTTGTTTGTAGTCCTTTCGGGGTTTGTGGAAGCATCGCCTTGGTTGAAATCCTCAGCAGAGAAATTATCACACCTGCCAATACAATCAGAAGTGAAGTTTTCTCAATGCGTCCTATTTTTATACGCTATGTATTTAAGAAAGACATGACGTCCTGCACGGATCAGAACAATGTTGGATTGGAAAAGTAAAGCATGAAGGTGTAAATTTGTGTACGTAGTTTATAGTTACCTGAAGAAGCGGTTCCTGCAAAAACAGCTTGCATGTATTTTTTCGGAAGCTTTCCGGCGGATCCCATCAAGCTTCCTCCTACCAAGCCATCAGCTAAGCCACACACTACAACTGATGCAACTGTCACGCCATAACCTGCATTAGCTCTCCCACTGCTCAACGCAGAACTGCCCGAAAGCCAGTCCGTAATTGGAGCCACCATTAACGAGAGAATAAACAGAGAAAATCCCAAGCTGAGTCTCAGCCTAGGACTCATCTTCTCCCACCAGCCACTCCATGTCATCATCACAAGCAATACGAGTACCGAAGAACTCATGTAAGCGACAGAGAAGACCTTCTCGACATGCTTGGTGGGATAGAGATGCCCGAAATAATCAACGGCGGTGATGAATGCATTCCAAGGAAGCAAATTGCCTGCTCCCAGCAAGAAATGAATAATGTAAGCAATCTTGTAAGCATCTCTTGGCTGGGCTTGATATTCAACACCCTTTACTCCACCTTCCATTTTTGTAGCTCTAGATGGCCTATTGGTCTGCGTCGGAAGTTATAATACACCATTTTAAGGAGCGATTAAACATCGCAAAGCGATTTTTGACAAGATAGGAATATCCAAAGCTCGATAGATCCTAGCTCTAGCTAAACTGAGCCAGTTAGGACGTGATGAGAGAGATAAACACATGGTTGTATAAACCTGGTGATATGATTAGTAGAGTTATGTGCTTGATTTGATTGATAGATCTGGAATCAGCATCAATGTGGCTATCTCATTCATGTAGGGAAGATAATTATGCTGAGTAGGGACATCAACGGATGGGTGGTATTACAAGTACATGAAATTTCACCACTAATGGAAATTCATTGGAGGAGAGACAAAACCTGTTTCTGTCAAGAGACTTTAAGAATGATCATTCTATCGATCGATGTTAAATGTGAAATGAAAGAAGAGGGACCTATATGTGTGTTCCCGGTGTCACATTTGGTTGGTTTTGATTAGCCATCAACGAACTTGATTCTCTTCTTCTCTACTTTCAGGGATTCATATTCACTGGTTAAGTGAAACCGATCTTCTTTCGAGTTCCACTATCTGTTGCTGTTATTCTTGATGCTTCTGTACACAAGTGGCAGAACATAGTGCTACTCAGAGATCACCATTGATCCTACACTTACATATGCATTCGTGCAATTTGATGCAGCAAAGGCAAACTATCTTGATACTTAGGCATGTTTGAGACGGTTTGTGCAAGAGTTAAAAGCAGTTTTTGACAACCAAAAAATCGTTTCTGGCTATGTTTAGAAAAAAAACTTAAAAACAATAGCTTATGGGTCATAGAATCTCATCTGACTATGTTAGATGATTCTCGAGGAAGACCTCTTCCCAACAAAATCATTGCTAGTAATAACGTTTATGAGCAAAAATGTTTCTTCTAGAAGCAATAACAAATGGTCTTTCCACTAATCATAAACTCCACAAACAATTGTTTAAGACATGTCTTGTTATAAATGGGTACCAAACGACCATCTCTAAAGTCGCTAAAATTATAATAAAAGGTGTACTATAAACAGGAACCATATGCAGTATTTGAAGGCACATTTAAGAAAGAATAATGATTGGGTGTTGAAAGAAGAGCAGCAAGTCTTTCTGAAATGAATAAGTGCCCAATTATAACTCGACACGTGACAAAATGATTACAGAATCGAAAACTTGAACCAACATCACTCCAACAAATGGACACGTGTCAATTTTCAATTGAGTTTTTGGCAAAATATGCTGCCCTTCTTTCAACACCCAAACATTATTCTTTGAGAAAAAGATGCTTTTGTAGTACCTGAAAAAAAAGATGCTCTGCTAATGGTGCAACCATTATTAGGGTTCAATTATACACTTCACTTTGCTTGTTAATGAACACACTTGACTAGATGTTGACTTTGAGTTCAAGGCTTTTTCACCCTTCATCTTTCTTCTTCCAGAAGGTGAGAGGGAGGGAGATGGCAGTGGTGTACCATTAAAGAGTAAAAAGCCATTGAGATTTGAGGTATATTTAGATACCAATAATGTAACACTTGAAAGGAAAGCTTTTGAGTTCTTGGCATCAAATTTGCAGAAAAGAGATTTTTCTTTGCATATTTAGATGGTTGTGATTCACTTCCTCCTCAAAATAGTATGTGACCGATTTATTGAACTTCGTGTTTCAGGTCAGAATCGTTTATGTTGTAAATCATTTTGTAAAGATTATTTATGCAAAAAATCAATTAAAAATAAGATCATTTAATTAATTAACTTTAGCAAATATATAGACGGTTTGTAATTTTTTTACTGGATCTGTGCATATGTTTTAAACAGTTCGATGGTTAAACAATCTCATTTATATTTTTTTTTGCAGAGATTATATTTACTGAATAATTATAATATGAACGATTTTTATTATAAGCATAAAATTTCGAAAACCGGCTACGAAGTATCTGGAGAAGAAACACGTCCTCAATCTTAAGGAGCCAAGTTAATTCCATATTATATAATAGGAAAAATCAAACAGTGATACATAAAAATCTTGTTCTTTTCTTTCTTGTAAAAGAAAAAATATTTGGGCAAATATTCTTTTTGGTCACCACAATCAACCCATAAGGTAGACGTTTTTTTGAGATGGATTAGCATTTAGATCTCGCTAAGCGGAGGATTTCTTGAATTAGAGAGCAACTTTTATAGTAAGGTGACGCCTAGAGATAATATAATGTCATGTGACAATAAACTTATACAAAGTATGGTATTATTGACATAAAATACCACAATAACAATGTGTTCGTCCTACTAAAATAATTATGTACCCCTATCCTGGACTTCATTATTCATCTTTTTTCTATTTCAGGTACGTAACATAGGGGTGAGTTTGAAAAACCAACAAAAAAAAAATTCAACCGAATTCCAAAACTAAAAAAAAAATCAAACATAACCGAATTAAATATATTAATTCTATTTATTTATTTACTATTGAATGTTTATATTCCAAGTCCAATTTTAAATTTAGACCCAAGTTTTAAGTTTTTATTTTAAACCAACCATTAGCGTATCAAGTCCTTTTTTAATCCCTACCCGACCCTCATCTTTCTTCCCTGCATCTTCTTTTTGGTTTCTTCCTACATCTTCTTTCTCTCTCTTTTTTTCTTCCTTTACTTTTGTTTGAAATGGAAAAACTAAAAGCAAAGTTGTAGAACATAGACCAATTTTCATATTTAGAAAAATTTAGTTTTATAGAAAAACTGAACTAAACAAAACCGAACCAAAATTAAACCGAACTGAATAAAAACAATATAAAATGAACTAAACCAAACCAAACAGAAATTTCAATTTCGTTTTCAATTTCGGCAAAAACTCAAATCGATTGGAACCGAACACACCCCTAATATATGTCAACTTAAATGTTAAAAACAAAGAACATTTGAACAATTAACTAAAAATAAAAAAATTGAAACGGCACCGTTTTAAGAACGCGTGCTTCTACATTGGCATGCAATAGTTCCAAATCACAAACTTAGGGGTGTATTCAATTGGAAATTTGAGAGATTTCAATGGATTCATAAATCTATGAATTTTTATGGAGTTTAACTAATAGATTCTATGTAAAACTTTAATTCAATTCCTTCGAAATCTCATGGGGAGATGTGAGATTTGTAGATGCTTAAAATACACTACGAAATCTCTCTAATTCCCTCTAATTCCTTAAATTCTTTAAATTCTAATTCTAATTGAATACACCTGTAATGTTATAAACTTCTTTTAAATTCTAATTAAATACCCTTAGATTTATTAAAAGAATTAAAATCTCACAAAATCCTAATTAAATACATCTCTAAATAAAAATCCAAAAAAAGAAAAAGAAAACAGGTTTCCGAGTTTCCGCTTCTCATCAGAGAGTCCACAAAGAACAAGGGAAGAACAGTGCTAGTCAAAAAGCGAGAGTTCAACATCGGATCCACCACAAGCTCTGTGCAAAGCACACAGAGGATTAAGGAAGATAGTGAGAGAGAAGAGAGAGAGAGAGGAATGGAGGCCGGCGCCGAAACGGCGCGTTCCGCAGGGCTGTACGGAGAGAGAGGTGCGGGAGGGAAGCTGAGGAAGCCACCGTCTCGAAAGCCGAATAGGACGCCGTATTCCCGTCCGCCTTCGAACCAAGCTGCGATGGGACCGCGGCGGTGGCTGTCAGGTATTGTCGATCCGGCTTATCGGCTGATATCTGGAGGCGCCACTCGGCTCTTCCCCTCTTTCTTCTCCAAATCGAATTCCCTCAATGCCCTACCACCGCCCATTGCCCAGCATCACGGTCAGCCCCAATTCTCTCCCTGTTAGGGTTTTGGACTTTTTGTTCCTTACTTTTTTGGGAATTTATTGGTGTTTTGGTGAATAAAGTTTATTACTTTGTAATTGGATTGACTAAAAGCATTGATTGGATTGTTCCTTTGGTTTTGTTGAATTGATTGGATTTAGTAGTCACTTTATGTTGCTTTTGAATACCCTTTTACTGATTACTGGTTAACATTGTGGATTAGTCTTTGGATTTTAACTCAATGAGTTATTCTGGAGCAGATGAGCAGCACATGGAGACGGAACAAAATGCTATCGCTGATCGTGAGGACAATTCCGAGTTAAATGTGAGGCCTTTTTTCATTTAGTACAACAGTTAGACCACACGGGTTGTATTTTGTGTATACGTAGCAACTTCAGTTTCTGTTTCTCAAGTCACTTTGTGCTTTAGTTTCGGTCATTGGTATAACCGTTGTAATTTTGACGGGTTGCGCATGCGACTGTGTTTTCATATATACGTGATTCTTTCATGCAAAATCTTGTTTATGTGACATTAACAAGTATTCGAATTCAGATTCGTTACCTTTTCATCTGTTATGTTATGTGGTGATAGGTATAAGATTCAGTTTCTCTTTGTTTTTTCTTCTTGTGGTATATATCAAGTACAATTAATTTAGATTATCTTCTGACTGATCTAGGCATACCTAGTTTTTCGCTATTTTGTGTGGTCTTCTTGACAGCTACGGATGGCTATGTCTTTAATTGTATATGATTTTTTTTCCCAGCATCAAAATCGTTTCTTATATTCAATTCTTCTTCGGCGTTTATCTTTGCAGAATGGGATATCCATAATAACTGAAATAGCAGGCCCTAGCAAAACAGCCGATAGATTAAAAAGTGGTTCGGATTTTGAAGGGAATAAGAAGGGTGACCAGTCGGAGGATATTGGACTTTTTGAAATTGAGCAGCTATTGAAGGGGAAAAAGTTTTCTAGGCAAGTTATGCATGTGATGTATTTCTTCCATTTATGATTATAGCTATGCATAAAACATCGATTTTCTAATAGTTTGCCACTAAGATGCTAATGAGTCAAAATGGTGGAGCTTAGTTTTGGTTAAAATGAGTGCTTCTTGTTAATGTGTATAAAGTAGTTTCTTATATGAAAAAGTGTGAATAAAGCGGTTGCTTTCCCACATAGATTGCATTAATGAATAATGGAGAAACCTGTTTCTGATATCAAAACAGTGAATCAGATTCCACCATTATAATTGACCGAAATTCAAGTTTCTCTTCCATTTAAAGATCAGGTTGGAATTTTATTCACTGTGGACACCCATGCATACAGTCATGGTCTTAAAATGCATTATCTTACCAGTCTTTTCTTGCCCTCTCTAAGCTCACTCCATCTTTCTCCAGGAATGAAGTCAATCACTTGATGGAAATTATACATTCGAGGGCTGTTGAACTTCCTAATGTGGATCACAAAAAGAAAAAACAAAGCTTTAGTGCTGCTGAAAAAGCCAAGTGGCCTGTAATTACAGATGATATTCCAAAGTCATCTGAAGAAAAGCAGGAAGACTTGAATAAAGCTATTTGGGCAACCTCAGCCCCTCTACCACAGTCAGCTGTGAGTGTCACTATCATCTTGCTCTGTTTATTGTGACATGTCATCAGGCAGAATCAATTCTGTTACGCATCTACATTTATGTGAAATTGTGAAATTGCACAATCTGTTTTCATTCTGTTTGAGTCTGCATATCCGTGAAAGGGAATTATTTTTTTTCTTATAGAAGTTACAACATATTTGGTAGGTAAGTATTAACTTATTAATACACTGAATTTTTATTTTTTATTTTTTTTATATTTGTGGATTGTAGTTCACTTATATTCTTAGATGACTCTATTATTTCTCTTAAAATTTTCAGATGCGAGATCAAGTTGGTGCTTCACCTGTTGATATTGCAAGAGCGTTTATGGGAAGCAGAACATCAGAAATTGATCCTTCGTCTAAGAATGCAGTGTCAAGAGATGAAATGGCCACACTGCATGGCGAT